GAGAGATAATATTACCTTCCCCACAGGGTGATTGTGAGGATTTAGAAAAGTAGATGTGTGCTGAAGCAATAGTAAGCATTTAAAGAGTCTTAAGTATTATGATTACTTAATACATAATTAAAAAATATTATGCAGACTTTTAAAAAATGCATACTATTTAAATGGCCTATATGTGCTGTACAAGAGAGGAAGGATTAATATACCTTCTATAATACATTTTTCTCAGCATTAACTAATTTTCACATTTAATCACACACACACCAAAAAGTTATTCCTTTCACAAGCATGAAGCCTTAACTGTGAAGAAAAGGATGATGAAAGAGAGTAGAGGAGAAAATAAAATGATTTCTCTACAAACTGATGGCTTAAAAACTAAGAAAAACACCTTTTTAAGACTTTGGTCACCATATTCATTGCTAGTACTTTGGTAGAGGTTTTCACATGCCTGTGGTTAATGTTCTAATTTTCTTCACAATTAGTAAATCATTGACTCATCACAATAGTCCTATAAATAGCTACCATTATCCCCCATTATATGGGTGAGGAGATTGAAGCCCCTAGAGGTTAAGAAATTTGCACAAGGCCCCACAGCTAGCATTGGAGCTGGGATCCAGATGCAGGAGTCTGGCTCCTGGAGGGGCTTGTAAACACTCCCTCTGCTCTCCCCTGCAGGTGTAAGCCAGCCTCCCGCTATTACTGTAAATAACATGATATGGTTCATTTAGTCTTAAAATTCACATTCTTTGTAGCTTTCTCTCTGGGGCAGCCAAGAGGAGCAGCCAGGGACACTGAGTACATGCTTCTGGACTATGTCCAAGAAGGTAGATGGAAGGAAAACAGTTTAAAAATGGGATCTTTAATGTGCATTCTTCAGTGGCCAGAAAAAAACCTGCCTAGTGAGGAACTGAAACCCTATCAGCCACGTGAAAATTATGCTTCAGACACCCCCGTTGTCCTTGGGTCGACACAATCAGAACTACAATGGATCAGGGACATGAAACTTTTGCAAATGCAGGGAGTATGAATACCTGACATTTTAAGATCTCAAGGAGTATGAAAAACATGTGAAGCTTTCATCAGCAGAGACCTGCTGTCACTTCCACTATTTCCCTCAGGGCATGTCCACAGCTTCACTGGTCCTATTGAGAATGAAGATGACAGCTAGCACCTGCTCACCCCTGAATCAGTGATAGGTTCTCCATTGAAAGGAAGCATATCCCCTTCATTGGTTATGACTAGTTCATAACCTAAGTAATTCTATAGATGTAGAAGGGATATTTTCATTGGTTCTGCTATCACAGACTTCTCTCCAAAAGAACATGCCATCAGTTACTCCATTTTCACCCATTTAAAGATATACTTAACAGGCTTCCTTCTTTAGT